ATAAGATCTAAGATACGAACTAAGAAATATGCTCAACAAAGAAATACACTAAGCACTAACAGTACAAAACAATACGCTGAGCAACAGCATCACAGGACGCCCAAACCACCTCAACTGACACCTTTTAATGCAAAGGAGCAGCAGGCTCTACTCCAGGCGCCCCCAACGGAGCTCCTCACCCTATGTTTAAGGATGAGCCTGACCTCCCTACGATGGAGGCTCATTTAAGCTGCTTGTATCTTGGATCTCGTTCTTTCGGTCATGATCCAAACCTCCTGACCATAGGTGAGGGTTGGAACATAAACCTTTGACTAATTTCTTCACCGTAATCCAGGGGGTCTCAACTCTGGTCCTTGAGGAACACCATCCTGCACGTTTTATTTGTTTCCCTACTCCAGCGCACCTGGTTTGAATAAATTGGTGATTAACAGGCTTCTTCAGAATATGAGGAAGTAATTATATCACTGAATCAGGTGTGTTGGCGCAGGGAAACAACTGAAACATGCAATATGGTGTTCCTCAAGGACCAGGGTTGGGAACCACTGCAAAGCAACACCCTTATTACTGAGGACAAGGAACTTTGTTGATACATCTCCTGCTCCATCCCACCATCCCTTGAGAACAAGACGCCCAGATATTTGAACTCTTCCATTTGAGCCAAAGTCTCCTCCACTGACCGTATGTGGCATTCAACCCCCTTCGGGTCGGGAGGGTTTTATAGATGTTTTTTTTCTTAAGTCATAAAACTTCCAGACTTTTATTATCATAATCTCATTGGGTCATAAAACCCCAGGTAACAATACATAACACAGCCAGGTACAGGCCTGGTATAGTATTTGAAAGGTACATAGCACTTACTGGTACATACCTGGCTGTAATATGAATTGCTACAAAACTCAAATTAAATAAATGGTACCTGAAATATCATCTGGCAGATGAAACATTTGTTTGGCTTTGGGGTAAGATGACCCAGCTGTTGCAGACGTGGACCAGTTGGTGCTGTTGGGTCTTTGACTGAACAGCAAACAACAAAAGACCTCATTCATATCTGCACCAGAAAGATATTCTATCCCGTCTTAATTCACCGTTGCAGAATGAAACACTTTTTCTTCTGCAGGACCACCATCTGCACAAACACCGAATCCCTACCTCCTCCGTGGATCCTGGATCAGATCGTCTTTCAGGAACTTTTGTCACTTTGGGGTTTCCAATTTCTCACATGTTGAAGAGCTATCGGGATAACTGCTCTTCCCCGAGAGGCTGCTTTTTGATTCATGACAGGATTGTAAAGTTTAAATTCCAGTTAAAGTAAAAAAAAAAAGTTAAGTTTAATTTAATGTTCAAACTTTCAGAAACTTTTATATCTAAACAATAAACACAGACGCAGCTTCTTGCCCTCTGCAAGAAGTGCCTGAACACAAAAGCAAATAAATCACCTTCTATTCTTTTTCCATTCAGACTAACAGCCTTGACCTGCGAGGACTCCTCCGGCCTGAAAATCCACTCAGCTGAAACCTTTTTTTATATCAGCTTTAAACTTGACATAGTTACAGACAACACAACACAATCTAAGGCTGTAAAATGTACGGTAAAATACACTAAACATTATTACACCATCTTCATAGAAATGATTTTTTTTTTAAATCACAGCAACTAAAAACTTAAGGTGTAAAGCTCAAGGGAGAAACAAAACCTACCTTTGAAAATATTTGTGTGAAAACTGGTTCATGCTTCTTACAGGAGCTGCTGATCAAATGTATTGATTAAATGATCGGCTTTAGCTGCCCACTGCTCCACCTGGGTGCATCCCAGGTGCTATGGGTTAAATGCAGTGAACTAATTTCACCATTGTATGGGAACATACAATGTTGACAACACATAGCACTTTACTTTAATGGGACCACCTTGAGAAAAGCAGGAGTTTTTTTCTGCTCTGGACCATACATGTGTGTGTTAACACAACGCCAAGATGGAAAAACATCAGCATTAACCTTAGAGAAACAACTGTTGTTGCCTGTCAGTCTAGGAAGGGTCAAAGGTCATTTCCAAACTGTTTGGAATCCATTATTCTACAGAGACACAGATTACAGTAGTCCCTCGCTACTCCGCGGTTCTTTTTGCACGGACTCGCTCTATCGCGGTTTTTCAAAAGTTTGGACATGACACAACTGGCTGATTGATGGATGAGCTGCACGATCGGCTTGGAATTTTTATTTTAAATGTATTATTTTAAATTATTTAGCCCCTGCTGCACCTGTGTGACGCCCATAGCTGCAGGAGAAGCTACCTCCTGCAGCGTGGAAGTGGCCAAGGCAGAGAGCTGAAGTCCTGACATTCTGTGCTTTTTTTTTTT